TGTTGATTGAGACATTGCCAATGTCTGAGAGTGATGTTGTGGGTTGGGGTGGGGGCGTTACCACAATTGATGGTATGATGTTGATTGAGACATTGCCAATGTCTGAGAGTGATGTTGTGGGTTGGGGTGGGGGCGTTACCACTATTGATGGTATGATGTTGATTGAGACATTGCCAATGTCTGAGAGTGATGTTGTGGGTTGGGGTGGGGGCGTTACCACAATTGATGGTATGATGTTGATTGAGACATTGCCAATGTCTGAGAGTGATGTTGTGGGTTGGGGTGGGGGCGTTACCACTATTGATGGTATGATGTTGATTGAGACATTGCCAATGTCTGAGAGTGATGTTGTGGGTTGGGGTGGGGGCGTTACCACTATTGATGGTATGATGTTGATTGAGACATTGCCAATGTCTGAGAGTGATGTTGTGGGTTGGGGTGGAGGCGTAACCACAATAGCGGGTACTAATCTCTTCGATGTACATGCTTCGACTGTACCAGTCGTAATGCCGGGATCTGTAAAGACAATGAAACGCAAAATATATTATCCTAACCCCAACCTTGACGTATTTGGTTTTGAAACTTTTAGCATTCCGTGGTAAATGACGATGTCCGTGTTATTTACTCACAATGACAAGAAAAATTACTACGATAAAGACTTTTCGTTTCTGACACTATAAAATTCAAAAATATGACATGTTTTTCTTTCAATATTTAAGTGTAATTGGTAATTATTATTGTGTGCGTATGGAATACATTTCGCTACATATGAATATTGTTATATAATTCCGAATTCATTTGTCAAAAGGAACGGAAAGTTGTACCGTTGATGTATTTCACTAAAGCCTACCATTGTTACAGTATATACGAATAAACTCTTACACTCTTACGTTAGAAAACATAATAAATACATTACATTGATTACAAAACACGGTCTGTTTAAACTTCATCTGCTAAGAACCGGACCCAAAAAGTCACATTTGAAAACAACTGTACAACAATATGTTTGCTGACTTACCTTCATCCTGAAAAGTACTACAACACAGAAGTTTTCTAAACGCTTTTTTCAATCTGCCCATTTTAAACGTTAAATCGTGACGGAGAAAGTTCAAATGAAGTGTTCGGCGACAGAGTAACAGTAAGGTTTGTGATACAAATGAAACGTCAATCATAGCAACCGTGACGTAATAAACATAACGTAGTCTTGCAAAATATCGCGCGTCCACGCGTGAGTTCCAAAGACGCGCGCGTGATCTAATAGTCAGCCTGGCTTGCTGCGTATGGTTGTGTACAATA